ATATCATATGTAGAAAAGATAGATTGTATTGATACTGCGTGGACTACAGGTGTGTCTACTGTAATACACAGACTGCAGCTTATATTACGGTCCTGTAGCGAGATGTTAACTACCTCGCCTGGTATACAGGTGATCGTGGGTTCGATCTCCACCCTGACGCCTGCTGTATATTTAGAGTTTGCGTGTCTCTCTCCCCACGGTCACGTGGGTTTTTCTCGGGGTCCTCCGGTTTTTCCCTCCACGTGTAGCAACTTTGGCTGCTGTACATCTCCACGCGATAAGCCACTTGGTCGGGCTATCATCATTCTGTGGTGGCCAGGTGGCTTCTGAAAAAGGGCTACTCGGCTCAGTGGGCCTTACCTGCTGAAATGAAAGATAACTTTCTAGTTGTGTATAGAGACCGCACGTATCCCAACCCCCTCCACCACCTCCTCCTCCTCCTCCCCCACGCTCAGCCGCAATCCATCAGCCTCGCACTCTTCTTCCGCGGAGCCGGTGAATTGGTGCAATATCATTCAATTAGCGCAGCTGCGGCCCGCGCGTCTCTTTGTCACCAACTCGGGGGGTGTGGTGCTGCTGCTGGTGGTGAAGGCAGGAGGAGCAGGAGGAGGGGGTGATGTATTTAAAACCCCGGGGTGGAAGGTGCTGCGTGTGGGGGGTGGGTGCAGGACCAGCGAAGCCCCCATTGTTTCACCAGAACGAGGGTAGGAAGCGCGCGCAGCGGGAGCCAATAGCCATTTAAAGTCGACGCACAAAGCGGAGACGGAGCACCTCGCGTGCCTGCAGGAGCGCGGATCGCTCTCGCTGTTCCAGTGTAACACTTGGACATCCCCTCCCCGTGTGGAGGGAGGGTGGAGGGAGGGGGAGGAGGGAGGGCGGGGGTGGTGACTGCGCGCTGCTTGTGGGTGGTGCGGCACGGTTCACTCTCTGCGGGGGGGGATGGGAAAAGCGGGGGGGGGGGGATGGGAGAAGCGGGGGGGGGGAAGCGCATTGGGGGGGTAATGGGGCCACCTGCGCGCACGTGCGGAATTCCTACACCCCCTCAACACCCCCTCCGACACCCCCTCCTCCTCATCCTCCTCACGACCCCCGCGACCCCCAAGACGAGCCTCCAGACCCCTGCACGGAGCTCATTGCTCTTGGCCCACACAGCCTCCTGCTGCTGCTCCTCCTCCTGCTGCTGTTGCTGTCCCAGCACCGAGGGCGCCTCGAACAATACTTCACAGACCGTGTGTGTGTGTGTGTATACTGTCGACGGCATATAACACCGTGACGCTGCATACACTGAACCTACACTCGTCTGCACGGTGACATTGTGCATGCGTGCACGCATTCGCGAGCTTGAGAATCGATCTATTTAGTTTAAGGCCTCGAGCGGCTTGCCACGTTAACCCGTCACGTCGGCGAGCATTACACCGACGGACGGAAGGACATCTGATTCCCCGACACGTGCCGCTTCCGTGCTTGTGCAAAGCGCGAGCTGAAGAGTCGATACTATTTGACGAATCGATGGAATGCGTGGCGTGCCACCTCCGGCCTCCGAGGCCCGAGCGAGCTAGCTGCACCCCCCCCCCCCCCCCCAGACACCTGTGGCCACCATGACCTCTGTACGCCTCTGCGGCCCAAACGCAGAAAACGCCTTAGAGTGAGAATCTCCCTTAAACTTTACCCAGATTTCAATTGGAGCTCGGGGAATACTTCGGTCGCTTCGTGCAAACTCACCGCGGGTCGCCTCGCGTCTACCAAGCGCCCCCACCGACAACCAAACTGCCGTGGCGTGCGTCCCACCGCGACCAGATCTTAGATGTAAGAAGCAGGTTGGAGGCTGGTTAGTAACCGACTTGGAGGGTGGCTGCCGGGGCTTGCCAGGTGATGTCGGCGTGGGATTGCAAGGTGACCAGGAGACGACCGTGCTGAGTATCACCCCCCACCCCCAACCCTCAAGTGTGTGTGGAAGGGGGGGTTCAGGTTCCCCGGTTTTCTTCCAACGCGAAGCCAAAACACTTGTGAAATGGATTTCGTCAAACCTCCCGATGTGGCCTCCTGAAAAAAAACGACTCTGCGAGGGCTTTCCTAGATGAATAATTGGCATGAAAAGTTATCCCCCTGGTCCCATTCCAGCTTCCGGATTCCTGCCCCATCGTAATCATCCACCGTGATGAATCCACCGCTGGATGAAGGCACCTTCGCGGTCCACCCACGGACAACCCACCCTAGCACCTGGACGCGAGCCGCTTACGTCGCTCCGTCTCCGCGGTGGACGCTCTCTCAGACGCACAGCCAGTCCACCGCCCACTGACCGTAGCCCCCGGCTGCGGAGTCTCCAGCCAGGAGCTTCCGAGCGCCCAACTCCCAGCCTCAACTCTCTCGCCTCTGCCTCCCATTGCGCAGCCCATAGCCCACGTTCGCCGGCCTCCAACCCATTGCTCTCTCCAACCTCCCTCGCCAGCCCAACGTCTCCATCTCCTAGCTGCTTTCTCAGTTCCCTTGTCCCGCCGCGCTTCCCTTTTGCTGGAGGACAAGCGGTGTAAGAATGTGGTCGTTACCGAGCGATTAATATGGAAAAACCTAGCCGCCCAACTTTAACACGTCCCGTAAACGCGTTTAAGTGCATTTTTTCCTGCGCGGTCCGATATTTACTCGCCGTTTAAAACCACCCGAGTGCGGGCCGACCCTCGCCTATAAAGGGGGGCGGGGGAGGAGGGCGACCGGCTCCCAACGGAGCGGACGCGGGCCGTGCGGCCAGTGGAGCGAGCTCGCCAATATCCCTGGGTCCCTCGCCGTGCTCGCCAACGTCGTGGGGTCGCGCCAACGACGTGGTTCTACGCGCGACTTTCCAGTCGCGCGTCTCAGCACGGGCCCCGCGCGGGCAAACGTTGCAGCGGCCGCGGCCCAGGCATTTATAATGAGTTTAACGGAGCCCACTGCTGTGCTTTTGAAGTTGGCCATATTTTTAGATATAAAAGAAAGGAAGTGGCGAGCCGGAGTTTTAAATTAAAGCAAAACACGATGCGTTCAGCAGCCGTCGCCACCGCCGAGACCACGGCACCGTGGCCCGAAGGTTTTTTTTTGGGGGGGGGGGGGGGGTGAACTGTGAATAAATAAATAACCACAAATAGATTAAATAAAACGAGAGGAGGGATGCGTGCCTCCGCCGTATGGATAAAGCATCGCGGAGGCTTGAGCGAGCGCGCGCGAGGGGCACCGGGGATGTAACGAACTTCCTCCGGCTCACGGGGAAGCGGCGTCTGGGGGATGGGACACGGCACGCTCGGCCACGGCTGGTGGATAAAGGAAGAGCATCACGTAAGGAAGGGGCCTGGCAACCGGACAAAGGGCTGTTTTGTGAGCGAGGAAGACGCTTTAAAAAAAGGTTTGTTTTAGAATCATCACGACCATCTGCTAGATCAAAGGCTATGGTCTTTCCTGCTGCCAGCCACTGGGTTTCATGAGATTCTGTCTCTTTCTCTGTGCGAAGGAAGGGAAGCTAGTGGGGAGGATTGGGGGCCCCGGGCTGGAAGTCAACATTCTGAAAGCAGTGAGGAAATGGCTGAGTGGGAACCAAATTCAGTGTTCCTGTCTTCCTCTCCCCCACCACCCTCCACACACACACAACCAAACACCCCCCACTCAGCCACCCCCCACCGGCCAAACTCCCGTGTCCTGTCACCCAACGCATCTCCCACCGCCCCCCCCCACCCACCACCTTCACAAGCAGCAAAATGCCGCCCGTGGCGAATTGCGCCGTTCCGCTCCCCGGCCCAACAAATTGGAAAACAAAATCTCCGTGCCGCGATTTCTCTGAGCCACCGCTGTAATTGCCGAGTCGGCGCTGCGCCGCAATCAATGGAGCCGTCTCGTTGCGCGGGCGCGGCCCCCACCCCCGCGCCTCCCGCTTCTCCCGCCGATTCCGCATCCCTCTCGCAAGGGGGCCGAGCGGGCGGCGCTTCATGGCGCGTCGGTCGAAGTTCGCCGGCGAGAAGAGAAACTCAAAATCCACCGGTCACGCGCAACACGACGCGGATGGATCTCTCCGTCGCGGGCAAAACGCGCGACACCCCGAAGCCGCTTTGGTGCCCCGATCGATCGCGACCCACGCCGGGGAACGGCGGCGGCGATTGACAGCGCGAAGCGGTTAGCGGCGTCGCGCCGCGTGTCGTGCGCGATCCGCCGATAAAAGCGGCGAGAGGAGGAGGAGGAGGAGGACGAGAGGAGGAGGAGGACGAGCGGAGCGGAGCGGCTGGCACGCGGTGCGGTGTGCGGGATCGCGTTCCCACAGGCAGGCAGCGGGTGAACCCCCCCGCGTGCTCTGGCTTTCCTGCCGGTGTGCGCGAAGTGGCTAAGATTAGCCCAGATAGATTTCCTCGATTTACAAACAGGAACAAGCACTCAAGGCCCTCAGTGGGAAGCAGCAGCCGAGTCCTTGGTCGATGACGCGCCGCGACGCCGAGCGGATGCCAGAATGATCCGTTTCCTTAACAAGTTCTCCCCGCACTCAACAAACGTCGGATAAAATTGGCACCCATTTTTATTTATTCTTTTTTACTTTTCAGGTGAAACTAAAATCTACATTTATATGAACGTAAATTAAATGCTCGGCACTTCAATACGTTCGACAAAAAAAGGTGGTTACACGTTTAATACAAATCAACGTCCATTTTTGCTGCATTTTCGATTCCAGATGAACTTTAAAATCAAACTTTTCACATTCGTACAGAAATAAGGACTTTACAAATGTGCTTTACAGTGCAAGGCTCCATTCCTCCTCATCATCATGATGGCGACCACCATTAACCATGGCTTCCATGAGCTCAAATCTCTCCTCTCATATTCGCTGACGATCGATGCCTCCAAAGGCCGCCGCAGCCAAGGGCCGACTGTCGCCAGACGCTTCCACTCGTGCGGTGCTCAGCCAAGTCTCCCGGCGCGGCCTCCAGGACCAAGGGACTCACGCCGCTCGTCAGCCACTCGTCAACCTCTCGTCAACCGCGACCTCTCACCTTCTTGGGGGCTGGGCAGGCCATCCCGATCGGACGCGACGAGGCCGGCCACTGTGAACGCCATTTTGCTGTGCTCCTCCAGCTTGAGGCTGCCAGGCGACGCCGAGGGCCGGCTGTGGGCAGGGTGCGGCAGGGATGGGTGCGCCGGCCCGTACTCCTCCGGCTCCGAGAAGCGCAGGTGCAGCGCCGCGGCCGCGGCCGCGGCCGCCGCGGCCGCGGCCGCCCCCTCCGCCTCGGCCTGCGCCAGCACGCCCTTGAGTCGCTTGGCGGGCGTGAACGCCGACTGATGGTAGCCGCAGCCCCCGCCGCCGTTGCCTCCGCCGCCGGAGGCCCCGTTGGAACCGTCCCGGTCGTCGCCGGGCGAGGCGAACGGCCGGAAGGCGCCGACGCCGCCGTGGCCGAGCAGGCCGAGGCCCGGCGGCGGCGCCGTCGCGAACTGCGGGTGCAGGTGGAGCAGGCCCGGGGGCGGGAACTCGCGCGTGCCGTAGCCGGCCATGGCGACGGCGGGCCGGTGGTAGAGCGAAGCGAAGGCATAGGAGCCGTTGGAAAAGGGGATGTGCACGGCGGCGGCGGCGGCCTCCTTCTCGGCGGCGACCGCGGCGAATGCACGCTGCTGCTGCTCGGCGCGGCCCGTGTCGGCCGTGGAGGCGAGCACCATGAGCGCGGTGGGGGAGGTGAGCGGGCCCTGCAGGTAGGCCGCGTTCTCCATGCGGAACGCGGCCGCCGCCGCCGCCCCGCGCTGCAGGTCCATGCGGAACGTCTCCTCGGGGCTGGGCTCCCGCGTCGCTCCCACGCTCGTGCCGCTCTCACGCATTTAGCGCGCGCCCTCGTCCGTCCGTCCGCGCGTCTTTCTGGCTCGCGACAGCGGTGCTGGCGGCGGACGCTGGCGCGCGGGTGGGGGGTGGACGCCGGGGTGGGGGGGAACGGGGGGTGGACGGGCTGCCGTGGATCACGCGGAAACCATCGCCCGAGCCTGCCCCCTACGCCAGCGCCGAGTCCTGTGTTTTGACACACGAGCGAGAAAAGGGGAGAGAAAATTCAGCTCCTGATGTCCGACTCATTACCGCGTCCTGTAATGCATCTGTAAATCTTGTTGTAAAGCAGGCTGGCTGATGATTTAAAATCTATAGCCATATCCCGAGATATGACAGAAGTGTTTTGTTGAAAATTGATCCTTCCAAAATTGCCACCGTGCCATTACCGGTGTAATTCACCTCCGTAGTCACCTTCCCGCGCCAGGGCTGGGATCGCCGGGAGGGCAACGCCATCCCGGCGATCACCGGCGCGCTCCTCCGAAGCCCCCGCCACGGCACGGGCCGGGGGTTTAATTAAGACGAGCGCGGTTCCAACGCGGCTAAACATCTGCTCGGAATCCATCAGCGCCACGCTCACGAGCCTCGCTCCTGTCACCCGTGATGAGTCATCGCGCAAGGTGATTTCACCGACTGTCGCTTAAACCAGACCCTGCCGTGACGAGGTTAGAACGTCCACGATGAGCGCGAATGAACGCAGATACACTGGTGTGTGTGTGTGCACATACATACATGTGTACACGCACGCTGCGGAGACACTCAGCTGGTACGTGTGGATCATGAGCGTGTGTATATATTTTGGCCAAGTTGTCTGCGACTCCGTATATTTTTGCGTGTGATGCGTAGGCACATTGGTGTGTATGTGTACTGCATTTGTAGGTATGAATACGTGTGTGTACACGCGTCATACTATATTCCATGAAACCAAAGTTTTGCTTGCTGGCTGGCTGGGAAGGACGGACGGTCACGTTCAAAGGACGTGGACGTTGCTAGTGCGTGTCTACATTTAAAGTCTGGAAATGTTCCAGGTCAAGTGCGAGACTGGAGTAGGCATGTGACTGGTAGCCACAGGCCATAAGCCGAGAGGCTGAAATTATCCCTGCCTTTATGTCATTGTACAGAACGTGAACACCGTACAAAGTCGCACACGGACAGCCATGTATCATTCATAGTCACATCTGGATTACACGGATAGCGACGCGTTAATCACACGTCTGGTCACGTTTAATCAGAAATGTACGCGTGGTCACACCGTCTTTGTGTTAATCAGTCACGCTCCTGACGGGATAGTCACAGTTCTATGACACCAACAGTCACGCTGTATTTGCTAAGGAACAGCCACGCGCACTCGTCTCAATGGGTGTGCAGTCACGAGCCACCCGACGCTCGCAGTCACGAATGGAGGCGGAGGAGCGTGTCGCCTCTCACTCTGGGGCCTCGAGCCAGACTCCAACCACACTCCAACCACACTCTACGAGCTGCACTCCAACCGCACTCTAGCCACCCTGTAACCACTCTCCAACTGCACTAACCACAGCACACTCGACACGCATTTTCACCCTAACCAAGTCTCACTCTGACCACAGCTCTACTCTCACCCACACTCTCACCACCACGCACCTCTCGCCAACCACATCTCAGCCTCACCACCAACCACGATGGTGCTGCCTTTACTCTGGGCCTGCGAGGGGGTGGGGGTGGACGCGATGTGCGGCAACGCGGAGGAAGAAGTCGAAGCAGCATCACCCGTCAAAGACAAAGATCCCCCGTGTAGCCTTAATAGACTGTTGGGGCAAGTGCTGTTAGCGAGCACCTATGAAGGCCGGCACGGCACGCGAGGGGGTAGTGGGTGGCCAACAACCACGCCCGGCCGCCTTTGTCTCTCTCAGTGGCGATGTTGACACGTCGCAACAGGTATTCGTTTGAGGCCGAGTCGACCTAGGGGTGGCCCACGACCGGTTCAAGCAATCGTCACCGGTGTTTTTGGTGGCCGCGAGCGGGAGTCGAACCCGGGTCGCCGGGTTCGTAGCGCAGCGCGCTAACCGCTCCGCCACCGCTCCCCACACACACCACGACAACAACAACCCCGAGCGTGTAACTTGACAGCCACTGCTGCTGCTGGGCACGTGCAGCGTGGCCCTGTGGCTGCGTGATGGGGGTGCACGGGTGTGATGCGGACTGTGCGATGTGTGTGTGTGTGGGGTGTGTAGTGTATGGAGTGTGTGTGTGTGGTATGTGTAGTGTATGGAGTGTGTGTGTGTGGGGTGCGTAGTGTATGGAGTGTGTGTGTGTAGTGTATGGAGTGTGTGTGTGGGGTGTGTAGTGTATGGAGTGTGTGTGGTATGTGTAGTGTATGGAGTGTGTGTGTGTGTGGGGTGTGTAGTGTATGGAGTGTGTGTGTGTGGGGTGTGTAGTGTATGGAGTGTGTAGTGTATGGAGTGTGTGTGTGTGGGGTGTGTAGTGTATGGAGTGTGTGTGTGTGTGGTATGTGTAGTGTATGGAGTGTGTGTGTGTGGGGGGTGTGTCGTGTATGGAGTGTGTGTGTGTGTGTGGTATGTGTAGTGTATGAAGTGTGTGTGTGGTATGTGCAGTGTATGGAGTGTGTGTGTAGTGTGGGGTGTGTAGTGTATGGAGTGTGTGTGTGGTATGTGTAGTGTATGGAGTGTGTGTGGTATGTGTAGTGTATGGAGTGTGTGTGTGTGGGGTGTGTAGTGTATGGAGTGTGTGTGTGTGTGGTATGTGTAGTGTATGGAGTGTGTGTGTGTGGTATGTGTAGTGTATGGAGTGTGTGTAGTGTGGGGTGTGTAGTGTGGTATGTGTAGTATATGGAGTGTGTGTAGTGTGGGGTGTGTAGTGTATGGGGTGTGTGTGTGGGGTGTGTAGTGTATGGAGTGTGTGTGTGGGGTGTGTAGTGTATGGAGTGTGTGTGTGTGGTATGTGTAGTATATGGAGTGTGTGTGTAGTGTGGTGTGTAGTGTATGGGGTGTGTGTGTGGGGTGTGTAGTGTATGGAGTGTGTGTGTGGGGTGTGTAGTGTGGTGTGTGTAGTGTATGGAGTGTGTGTGTGTGGGGTGTGTAGTGTGGGGTGTGTAGTGTATGGAGTGTGTGTGTGTGGAGTGTGTGTGTGGGGTGTGTAGTGTGGTATGTGTAGTGTATGGAGTGTGTGTGTGGGGTGTGTAGTGTGGTATGTGTAGTGTATGGAGTGTGTGTGTGTGGGGTGTGTAGTGTGGTGTGTGTAGTGTATTGAGTGTGTGTGTGGGGTGTGTAGTGTATTGAGTGTGTGTGTGGGGTGTGTAGTGTGGTGTGTGTGTGTGTGGGGTGTGTAATGTATGGAGTGTGTGTGTAGTGTGGGGTGTGTAGTGTATGGAGTGTGTGTGTGGGGTGTGTAGTGTATGGAGTGTGTGTGTGTGTGGGGTGTGTAGTGTATGGAGTGTGTGTGTGTGTGTGGGGTGTGTAGTGTATGGAGTGTGTGTGTGTGGGATGTGAAGTGCGGTATGTGTAGTGTATGGAGTGTGTGTGTGGGGTGTGTAGTGTGGTATGTGTAGTGTATGGAGTGTGTGTGTGGGGTGTGTAGTGTGGTACGTGTAGTGTATGGAGTGTGTGTGTGGTGTGTAGTGTGGTGTGTGTAGTGTATGGAGTGTGTGTGTGGTGTGTGTATTGTATGGATTGTATGGGTGGGGTGTGTAGTGTGGTGTGTGTAGTGTATGGATTGTGTGGGTGGGGTGTGTAGTGTGGTGTGTGTAGTGTATGGAGTGTGAGTGTGTGTGGGGTGTGTAGTGTAGTGTGTGTAGTGTATGGAGTGTGTGTGTAGGGTGTGTGGGGTGTGTAGTGTGGTATGTGCAGTGTATGGAGTGTGTGGGTGGGGTGTGAAGTGTGGTATGTGTAGTGTATGGAGTGTGTGTGTGTGGGGTGTGTAGTGTGGTGTGTGTAGTGTATGGAGTGTGTGTGTGTGTGGTGTGTAGCGTGGTATGTGTAGTGTATGGAGTGTGTGTGTATGGTGTGTAGTGTGGCATGTGTAGTGTATGAAGTGTGTGTGGGGTTGTAGTGTGGTGTGTGTAGTGTATGGAGTGTGTAGTGTAGCGTGGTGTGTAGTGTGGTGTGTGTAGTGTGTGTAGTGTGTAGTCTAGCGTGGTGTGTAGTGTGTAGTGTATGGCGTGTGTAGTGTATGGGGTGTGTAGTGTAGTGTGTAGTGTAGCGTGGTGTGTAGTGAGTGTAGTGTGGTGTGTAGTGTAGTGTGTGTAGTGTGTCGTGTAGTGTAGTGTGAAGTGTAATGTGTAGTGTGTGGTGTGTAGTGTGTGTAGTGTATGGAGTGTGTAGTGTGTAGTATAGTGTAATCTATAACTGTTGTGTGTGTTTGTTGTATGTGGGGAAGTGGTGTACTGTAGTATGTGGTGTACGAGTGGTGTGTAACGAGTTTCTGTAAGATCGCTGAGTGTATACGCGTGGTGTACCGAGTCGTGTGTGATGTACACGAGGTGTGTATATGCGGTGTGTGTTGAGTTGTGTGTACGTGCTTGTTGTGTATACGTGCTGTGTGTGCACATCACAGCACACAACGTGCAAGTGGCGGCGTGCGGACAGGAGACGTCACCACCCAACAACAACAACCGCCATTCGCCACTAAGTGGCGGTGACGTCACCACGACGCTTGTGCCAGGCCACGTGCACCTTGAGGCAACAGGGGCTAAACAGGGGCTAAACGGGGGCTCTGGACGGGTGCGAGGGGCTGGTAACCCCTCCACCTTCAAAGATTTACCACTAAACCACGTCTAAATTATCACCACCCAACACTCATCATCAGCAGCATCATCATCGGCAGCTTCATCATCATAGGTATCATCATCATCAATGACCGTCATCATTCTGTAACACCATCAATCAGCAACAACAGCAGCGTGCAAAGGCATCAATCAGCACCATGATCATCACCATTTGAAACATCATGATCATCATCATTTGAAACAGCATGATCATCATCATTTTAAACATCATGATCATCATCACCATTTGAAACATCATGATTATCATCATAATTTGAAACATCATGATCATCACCATTTGAAACATCATGATCATCATCACCATTTGAAACATTATGATCATCACTATTTGAAACATCATGATCATCATCATCATCATTTGAAACATCATGATCATCATCATCATTTGAAACATCATGATCATCAT